GAACGATGGAGTTACCCACAGAATGGCCTTCAGTGGAATGAGTAGATCTTGAAAACTGCACATGGGAAAGAGATAGATCTTGTAACTTGAAAATGTGACAGGAAAGTGACAGTTCTCTCAATTTTGCTATCAATATTTCTTTGGCCTTTTAGACATATAGATGATTGCTCAGTTAAAGGCACAGATTAGCTTGAATAGGGGTAATAGGTATACACAAGTCTCTCTTCTTTTGAGAAATACAAACTGAATCTACAAAATAGTACATGAGACAATTTATACACATCAGTTTAAATTATAAATTAGGTAAATACGTTAGAAGTTAATTCCACCTAACAATGAATTTGAGGAGCTTTAAAAATCTTAACTCTTTAAATAATAAAAAAATAGTAAAACTTAATACATAATCTGAACAAATTGGTAAATTAATAATCAACTGTCACTATTGTCTTAGTAGTAGAACAGAACTTTTTTGGGGGAAAAAATAAGAAAAACTTGTTGTAATATAAACACATATTTGAACAACTGACTGAACGGCTTCATTTTAATATTCACTTGAATTAAAATTGTCAGCATTTAGAAAAAGGGAATCCTTGCCATATTGGTTTTAAGTTTAAATACTTTGCTTAGCTTAAGTCACCAGATTGCAGATATTTTGGGTGTCTTTGTTCCAGTTTCTGCTTCTGAAACATTTCTGTCATACTTAAGAGTCCCTGACTCATTGGTAGCCATGTGTAGTTTTTGGAGTTGTCAGTTATATCTTTTCTATAAATATAAAGATTTTGCCTCTGAAGAATGAGGTTTTTTGGTGTCCACATAAAGAAAGTATTGGCCAGGACTGCCTTCTCATTCTCCCCACATGCTGTACAGTACCTTGAGTGAATTGCACAGTATCTTGAGATTAAGAAGTTTTCTCTGTTTCTAAAACATTATTCTTGGCTGCACTTCTGTAATGTTTGGCAGCCATAGCTGCTTATTTTAAGATGTTCAATAAAGGAAAAAAAATAACAGGATGAGAGACAGCTGCAGGTACTGGCAGTATACAAAATTCATAATTACTACAAGTAACTGAAGCATATTATAGTATAATTCAACTGAAAAAACAGCTGGCACATGCTGTATTTGTCATATGAGAGCTTTGCAGAACATACTTGCTACAGCTGGTGGAATTATGACCCATCTGCCAATATGCTAAAAGCTCACCTTTTGTTTCCTACTCACTTCACAAAGACAATATGGATTAGGGACTGATTTGATTATTTAGCAGTTGGGGTTACTGCTCAGTTTTAATACTAAAATCTCATAATGTGTGTTTGGGGGAGGGTTAACAATCAGAGTGAATCAACACTCTAGCTCAACAGCCATCACATTAGCTTATGCTTACAAGGTTAAACTCTTTTTCTTTAAACACGTGGTCAGTGTGATCTAATTATAAAAATAATTTCTTGATATACAGCTGTGTGTGAACATGTAAATTCTGTTTATGGCCTGTGCTCCTAAAAATGCTAATTGCACACCTCATTACAAGTATAGGAGACAGATTGTTTTCAATTACTAAGAATTTTTAATTTAAAGCATAAATCTACCTCAATGGTCTTCTACAACGATGTGGCAATAAAGATGGTTTGTCAGAGTTTAAGCATTTCCTTATTTTCAAAGCTTTTTATATTAGAGTAGTTAAACTTGAACAGAAGCAGTCTACACATTATAAGGTGCAGTGTTTGAACAGTTTCCTAGGGAGTTTATTTTGAAAAGGTATGTATGAAAAGATAAGACAGGAATTCTATAAAATTTTGGTTTTGCTAATAAAACAGTTTATAAAAGCTCAGCTTTCAAAAAACAGCTGTTCGTTAGTGCTTCTGTATTGTAAATGCTTCATCTTGATGCTTCATATTGCTTACAGAGCACAAATTGCAATAATACTGTTAAGTAGTAAGACACTAACTTGATCCTGCAATTTTAATGTCTTTATTTCTTATTTTATATAAAAATGTTTACATGTGGTAACACAGGTGTAATCTCTATAGAATTTTAACTGTTTAACATAATTTAAATATCTTCCTATGTACTCTCATATTTATAGCAGCTAGTCAAAAATGCTGAACTGGTTTTATGGGATCTACTTGGGATTGGTTAAAGGGGTTGGTTGAGAACAAGGGAGTGGAAACTTCCAACCCAGTATACTCACAGCCCTATGTTAACAGATATATTGCAACCTTGTATTTCAAGTAGAAGTTTTCAGTCAACTTTGTATGAAATAATAAGTTTAAAAGGTTTTAAGAGTAAATTATTGTTAGGAACTAAATGCCATCATTAAAATAGCAGAGGCTTTCTGAAATATAGATCTGAGGTTCAAGTATCTTCTACCTTGCCTCTATTCCCCCAGAATGAACAAAGGCTTTAGCTTCCATCAGTGTGTGTAGTGTCAGTAATAGGCAGTGCACCTCAAGGTTAGGTATCAGCTTTCTGAGCGTTGTCCATGCACTACATATTCATGAGATGATTGCATTTCAGCCTGCTTTCAACATGGGAAAGGAAGGTAAAATGACAACGGATTTGAAAAGTCTTCTTTAAGAACTTCTTCAAGTCAGTTTGAACGTCAAGGCAGAAGGTGAAATTGGTGGCATAAACCTTGATCACACCATTTTCTTGGTGATGGCTGTTGCTAGTGGAGTAGAAACTGGTCAAAGGTTAGAGCAGCCTGGTTAGTTCTGCAGCTTTCTCTGGCTAACATTACGAAAGGTCACGGTTTTTTCCATCTTTGGTCATCTCTTTCAGTGGCTTGTGATGAAAAGAGGCATGAACTGTTTCCCTTGAGCATCAACTCAAAAGGTCTACCATCATTCAGATATTTTTTGTCTTCTATAGTATACAAATTCAGGATCACCAAAACTCCTTCAGTATAAAAGTGAAAGAACACTTTCAGGAAGGTGGCATTTTCATTTTTCTCATGAAGTGTTACTGTCTGTCTCACAAGCACAGGATTATTTGGCTTTAGGTACTTCAGTTGAGTAATCTGGACATCCATAAATTGATGGGTCCAGATGGAATGCATCCAAGGGTGCTGAGGGAGCTGGCGGAGGTCATTGCTAGGCCACTCTCCATCATCTTCGGTAAGTCATGGCTAACAGGAGAGGTGCCTGAGGACTGGAGGATAGCAAATGTCACACCAGTCTACAAGAAGGGCAAGAAGGAGGACCCGGGTAACTATAGACCGGTCAGCCTCACCTCCCTCCCTGGAAAGGTGATGGAACAACTTGTTCTTGTCACTATCTGTAGGCATATCAAGGACATGGGGGTCATCAAGAGCAGTCAGCATGGTTTTATCAAGGGTAAATCATGTTTGACTAACCTCATAGCCTTCTATGAGGAAATTACTAGGTGGATAGATGAGGGTAGAGCGGTAGATGTGGTTTATCTTGATTTCAGTAAAGCATTTGACACTGTCTCCCACAGCATCCTTGTAGATAAGTTGATCAAGTATGGGTTTGGTGATCAGGCAGTGAGGTGGATCAAGAACTGGTTGAAAGGAAGGAGTCAGAGAGTTGTAGTCAATGGGGCAGAATCTAGTTGGAGGTGTGTGACTAGTGGAGTCCCTCAGGGGTTGGTACTGGGACCGGTGTTGTTCAACATCTTCATCAATGACCTGGATGAGGGTATAGAATGTACCCTCAGCAAGTTTGCTGATGACACTAAGCTGGGAGGAGTGGCTGACACACCAGAAGGCTGTGCTGCCATTCAGAGAGACTTAGATAGGTTGGAGAGTTGGGCGGGGAGAAACATGATGAAATTCAACAAGGGGAAGTGCAGAGTTTTACATTTGGGGAAGAACAACACCATGTCCCAGTACAGGTTGGGGGCTGAACTGCTGGAGAGTAGTGTAGGTGAAAGAGACCTGGGGGTCCTGGTAGACAGGAGGATGACCATGAGCCAGCAATGTGCCCTTGTGGCCAAGAAGGCCAATGGCATCCTGGGGTGCATTAGAAAGGGTGTGGTTAGTAGGTCAAGAGAGGTTCTCCTCCCCCTCTATTCTGCATTGGTGAGGCCACATCTGGAGTATTGTGTCCAGTTCTGGGCCCCTCAGTTCAAAAAGGACAGGGAACTGCTCGAAAGAGTCCAGCGCAGAGCTACGAAGATGATTAGGGGAGTGGAACATCTCCCTTATGAGGAAAGGCTGAGGGAGCTGGGTCTCTTTAGCTTGGAGAAAAGGAGACTGAGGGGTGACCTCATCAATGTTTACAAATATGTAAGGGGTGAGTGTCAGGGAGATGGAGTTAGGCTTTTCTCAGTGATGACCAGTGATAGGACAAGGGGTAATGGGTGTAAATTGGAGCATAGGAGGTTCAAGGTGAATATCCGAAAAAATTTTTTTACTGTAAGAGTGACAGAGCACTGGAACAGACTGCCCAGGGAGGTTGTGGAGTCTCCCTCACTGGAGACATTCAAAACCCACCTGGATGAGTTCCTGTGTGATGTACTCTAGGTGACCCTGCTCTGGCAGGGGGGTTGGACTAGATGATCTCTCGAGGTCCCTATTCCTGTGTGATGTGCTCTAGGTGACCCTGCTCTGGCAGGGGGGGTGGACTAGATGATCTTTCGAGGTCCCTTCCAACCCCTAGGATTCTATGATTCTATGATTCAAAGCACCTTCAAAAATGTCCATGTTGAGGTCTGGTTATAGGACACTAGTTAGAACGTTAATCTAAATAGTGAATAATTTGTGCAAATACAGCTTATGTTTATAGTGTATTTTATAACATGCCTGTGAAATAAGATTCAGTAAACATAAAAAACTCCAGTAAAATGTCAAATGCTCTTGACAAAGTCGTGTTGATTTGAACAAATACATCTCGTTCCTCATCCGTCAACATTTTGAGAGCAAGACTGTAACTAAAAATACACCATACACCCCTCCAATGCAAGAAAGTACCTATGAAATTATATTCCGATAACTGATGCACTACTACTGTGTGTTAATCAGCATCTTTCCTTCTGATTTATAGAAGTGAGCTGAGTCAACACAAACTTCGTAGCCAGGAGCTCGTATCTCAGCTGAAAGTGGCAAATGAAAGAATAACTGAGGTAAGGTAATGACTGATACAAGAACTATTTTCAGTTACAACCTGATGCACACACACTAGGGTCTTAACAGAAATCTATTTACATGAGTTATGGTGCCAGTTTAGAAAAAAAATAAGGCTTAATGACAGGAGTAGTCTTAACTGGAAAACCCCACTGATTCTGCTGACTGACATGTTCAGCTGGCAGAAAGACAAATTAACTTTACCCTCCATGAAAAGGAAAGGTAAAGGAGAGATCATCTTTCAAGGTTACTAATCTGGCAATTTTCGGCAATGCAGGAAATGTTTCTGAAGTCACTTAAGCCTATGTATGCATGTGTATCTCTGAAAGGAGCAGGCATTGTGTTATGCATAATGTACCATATGTAGAGTTCCCTAATTCTCAGCATGCTGTTGTGTATAGTAGAATTTACACTGTATGTGCATATATGCATAGAGATAAATCCATTAAAGATTAAGAGCAGGGTTATCTTGGAATGTGAATTGTTCAATAATTAATGGCCACTTTAGAAACAGCTTTCTTGTCAGCCTCATAAATCCAGGATAATATCCAGTTCTGTCTAGGATAAGTCCTGTTTTGTTTTTCATAGTGCAGCATAATTTAGTGAAGAAAAAGGGGCTAATGCAAGAATAGGTTTCTGTACATAAAGGATGGTTAGGAAAGACTTTATGCTTACCCTTTGATGAAGAGAACTGAAGAAACGTGTACCAAGTTTATGATCCCATTTGTATTATCCAGTATATTCTTTTTCCCTTTGAGTACAACTTAAACATTTACACTGTATGATTGTGTAAATTAAATTCCGTGGATTAAATATCCGGTTTTATGCATTTTATTTCTGTCCTGCACAGGTGAGGTGTATATGCACAAAACAAGATGTATTGCAAACAGCACCAGGGTCTTAACAACTGAACCTAAAGGAAAAACACAAGCTGATTGTATGGGTGTTGGGATATTAGGGTAGCAGAACAGAATATTAAAGCAGTAACGAAGAAAAGTATCTTAACAATAAAATGCACAACTAGTAGTCGGTTAGCTGGCAGAGCTAGCTAACTGAATTTAAATGCTAGCAACTGAATTATTAACAGGCTTTATACTAGATCTAGAACAAAGATTAAAATAACACCTAGACAAATTGGTAATACAATAATTGCAATTATCTAAAAAGGATCCTAAGGTCTCAAAGTTCTAGAACTTAACAGTGAAAGAGTTCTTAATATTTAAAACTGGCTAATTTAAAATGTTAATAATAATAATTATTATTGTTGTTATTATTATTTTAGTACAGGGAGTTGATATGTCTCACCCTTTCATGGCCAGAGCCAGGTGTCCCTTGTCTTGTTCCTCAAAGTCGGAGGAGTAATCACTTGAGCAGGCATCCCTGCTGGAGAGGAGAAAGTCCAGCACAGCTTCTAGGGAAAGTGTACAGGTGTCTTTCCAATTCAAGGGTGGGACCAGGCTTTTATAAAGTAGATTGACCGCTGTCATTTAACTATTTAGCTGTACCTCCAAAATCTCTCATAGGAGAATAAAAGGAACAGAGTGGAAAAACCCAAGAAGGCCAAGCACTCTTTTGTTTATCTGTTCATTCTTACTTTATCTGTGTTTCAGGCCTAGTTGTGGCTGGGCTCCATGCTCTTCAACACTGAAGAGCAGCTGGTGTTTTGAACATCAATATGGCCCTCTGCAGTTTCAATGCTGTTACCAGCTCAGAGCTTGCTAGGCCCTTTCCTTTCCCATAGGAATCTTTCCAATCCAGGCCCAGGACTGTACAATGGAGAGGCAGAGAGCAATTGAATCACAAAGGGAAGCTAAGGCAGGCACACTGAGTTGGAGTGTCCTCCTACCTCAAATTACTCTGATTGCAAAAGTCATATGATACTGTATTTAAGCTGGAAATTATAATGTGTCAGCATTATGTCTGCAGTGTTATATTATAAGTGGTAAACAGTTCCCCTCCTTAAGTCCCTCTTGTTTTAAGCTTTTTCATTACAGGGTGTATGGATCCAGTAAAAACAACTTTGCTTTTGTAATGAGATATTTCATTTACACAGGATGAAAAATTAATGACAGAGTATCAAGAATACATCAATAGGCTCCAAAGACGACTAAGCCAGGCAGAACAGAGGGCAGCAACAGCGTCTCAAAAGGTACAAAAACAAGCTTGTATTTTGGATACATCATCATAAAAGTGATACATATTCAATTAAATCCCACCTTCTGACAGGGTACTTAAGTGACAATATAGATTTGTTTTATGGAAAAAAATGTGATGTGAATTCAATTTGTGTGGTTCAAATAGCGTGAAAGAAGGTGTAAGATCATTTACATCTTCAGAAATGGTAGCAAATCAACAAAGAGGAAATAACCTCTAAATAACTGCTGTCCCTGTTTACATAAAGCAGGCTTTTTTACCTTGGTGTAGCCTACTGCTGCAGTCACAAATGATGATAAAGAGCAAATGTTGTGCTGATTCCTACACTTGTTTCCTGGGGAGTCTGATTTAAAACAAAGCAAGTCTGGAGTTGACAGTTGGAGAACTGCCTTTGTAAAAATTGCTAGACAGCATACCTGTTTTGTGGAAAGTTTGTTTGTGGCTTTTTTCAGCCAAATGAGTTGCCTGGTCTGATTCATTATGTGATCACTCAAAGAGTGTGAGGAAATGGTGTGCAGTGGTTCCAAGACAGAATGATAGTGTGGACCTGTTTATCGTCCATCAAATTGCAAACTTGAGTACCTTCTGCTGTGTCATGTTAACTTCCAGAGTTTGTAACTTCTGTGTGTCCACCTGCATTTTCATTAGTAGCCTCCAGTGGCTGTTGGAAAAGTACACACCACTGTGTGTACATCAGTTATGTATTACAATGTCAAAAATGCTCAAAATAGTGCAGACAGAATAGGAAATAATTGTGGTTTTCCAGACCATGGAAAAAGAGGAAGGAAGGGATGGTTTGTGTATCTCACTGCCATGGTATGCCTAGTTTCAGTGGCTCTGAAAACTTCAGGCAAGGTGTGTCCATTAGAACCATTTCTATGGCCAAGACCTCCTTGTGCACCACTGTGATCACTTCATGAGCTGAAATGTTGCTGCCTTCTTTTTCCAGTTCTCTTACAACTCTGTTCCAGCTTTGAGCAGTACTGTTCAATATTTCTAGATATTACAGGTATTGGGAGGAAAGGTCTTCTCTTCAGAGAGACACCAGGCTTTAATTATCTAAACCCTGTAGTACCTGTAATTCTGCATTTTCTCTGCTGTGTAGTAGGTGGGGTTTTTTCCACCCAGCATTCTTTTTTCCATACTGTTGAAGTTATACCTCTTGAACCAAATCCTATTAGGGTTTATACACTGACTTCACTTACTTGCTAAGCAAATTTGCTACTGAACTTAGTCTCCTATTAAGTAATGGTGGTCTTTCTGTCTCCTCATTTTTTACAGTGATTTAGGACATCCAGCTGCAAATTCAAGCTTTTTAATGTTGGTGATCCCATGTGAATTGCAGAGAGGAAGTGTTTAGTTGATCTAAATTTTCCAATTAGGACAAATGGCTTTTTTTTTTTCCCCAACAGCAGTGAATAAGTGGGCATAGCTGCCAAGCTATCATAACATAAGCTCTGTTTCTTGGGTGTAAATCCTCTCTGTCATGACAAGGTCTATCCAGCTAAGTCAAGACTTGCTCTGAAGGAATAATTTATATTTTTTACCTCCTGTTTGTTATGTGGATCTGTTCAGCTGTAATACTTCCAAGTTGCTATCCTCCCTTAAAAAACAAGTCATGTCACCTTTCATGGAGTAAATTCTTGGCCTCAGTGCCCATACAGGAAGAGGTTTTGCTGTTCCTGAAAACACTGATAATTAACTGTTCCTCACCAGTCTCTCTCTGAAAGGTTAAAAAGAGATTTGTTAAAATGTTTAGCAGCTAAATTGTTGTCCACATCTTACTGTCAGGCAGCAGAACTGCCTTGCTCTCTTCAGGCTTGGCAGAGGTTACTGCCACCAGCTGTCAAGCATGTGGCTGCTTTGTAGTGGCTTAGGAACTTCTCTGCCCAAGCCCCTTCCTCTTCCCCCTACTCTTCCTCCTGCCCCCCAAGAAAAAACAAAACAAAAAACAGCAATAAAAAAAAGACATACCAGCACTGTTCCCGCTAAAGGCTGGGAAAAGAGGTCTCCAGAAGTATTACCACAAGCATGTCCACTCTTCTGAATCTGAAGAAACCAAGGTGTTTATTCTCTTCTAGGTCTTGTGAGACTGAATGTTCATGTGTCTGCTTTCTCAGATTCAGAATGGGAACTCTTCTCTGTATTCTGAATCTGTAGGTTAAGGGCTACTTTCTGATTTAATTGTGTATTCTCATTACATTATCCAGCTTACTTGTAAAATTAATAAGGGGGAGTTTAAAAATTACATTTTTGTTGTGATTAGTTCTGTGATATAAATCTTAAGATTATTAAATAATTGTAATTCAGTAAGAAACCTAAAAAATACAGGATAAAGTTTGCATAGGCTTAAAATGTATCTATTCATATAGGAGTCTTTAAAGTGTATTCCTGCTACCTAATCTTTCATAATCTTTGAGATCTGAATAAGACAAAAGCAGTATTAATGTAAAGAATGCATTGTAAATTCTACTTTTTACTCCAGACTCCCTCTGAGCTATGCCTGTGTCCTCTCCTTCATGACACCTTCTATATTGAACTAGTGATACTTTGATCTTGCAAAAAATTATATAAGAAACTGTATCTGCTTGTTTTTAATTGCAGCTCAGCCTGGCAACTACACAGAAGAAAAGAGCTGCTTCCCTGAAGGGTCTGGAAAATATTTAAACACAAGTATTGTTGATTTACACCATGTTGGAGTTAAGAAGATTGCTGGAGAAACTTCATATTGGAGCATTGAAGTCAAATGCATAGGAAGGCTTGTAAAACTAAGCCAAACATTTTCTGGTTTATGCAGGTGAGAGAGGAGGTGGATGAAGATACTGTATCTGTAAGCATAGTAAAGACTGGCAGAAGACTCTGAAATGTTGTAATTCAAGTCCTTTAATGTAGCAGATGAAACAATCTGATACAGTGCTGTGGCATATTGCTCTTTTTTGGTCTAAAAAAACACCAGCTCCAACTAGGACAAGACCATTTACAAGGAATACATAACATCACATGGAAATTCATGAACACTTTTGCTCACGTCCAGTCGATACCTTTAATTTTTCTTTGTAGTGCAGTAACTCGGAACATTTTTAAGATCTTTTATGAATTTTAGTAAGACACTAATTAAATCATTACTGTCAAGTAGTTGCTGTTTTTATGGTAGTTGTTAAAACTGTGAAATTCCTCCACTGGCTTCCAGTTTTAAGAATTGGGTTCAGTTTGTTCTGATGGCCCTGGGAAACAAGTCAATGAATAGTGCTGTTGTGGCTATTCATACAGCTCATTTCTAAGGACCATAATCTTTCTTCAGTTGTGCTTTTCCTTCCTTATTACTATTTTACTGTTGGTTCTTGCTTTGCCATTGATCTCTCTTGGTTTGTATGTGTTTGGGAACTTCAGTTTGCACAAAGATGGTGAAGTCACCAAGTCATCCAGCTTTTAGGCATTTTGAAATAGTGTTTGAATTGAACAGATGTCAGTATGTGTTTTTCTTTGATAGTTGAGAAACTTCATACACAACATTCTAAAATTAGAGCTGAACTGTTTTTCAGCAGATATTACAGACATTTCATAGGTGTTAAATGACTTTGAAGTGCTCCCCCATCTTGGACTTCAATGATATCAATTCTTGTTTTTCCTCTTCAATGTCATAATTCTGGTTTAGAACTTTTAATTTGTTGATGGTTAATGCTAACCCAATACTTGATGAAAAATGTTGTTTTGGACCAACAAACCCCTATGTCTGGCACAGTGGATCTCCACTGTATTTGCATGTTAGAGGTCAGACTTGGGTTGATCACTACATGGAAGTAATTTTGTGCCACCTCCTGAAACCCTGGCTGTTCATGTAGAGCTTGCAAGATGGGTGCAACCTCAAGAAAAAAATTGGCTTACTGCAGAGGAAGTTACTATTTCCTACAGTTGCACAAGCTTCTTTACTAGTGCTTTCTCAGTTTCATATATGCCTGTACTCATTGTGATCTCTGCTTTTGCTAAAAGACTGCAAAGATTTTTCAAAGTGACATGAATACATTGTCCAGAAGCTCTGAACGTCTGTTGTGGTGAGATTGTCATCAATCAACCATGTCTGTAATACAGAGGGAGGTAAGTACCAAGCACCTTATTTTCACTTGCATAATGCACATCTGAGATGATGATGAGAGACCACCTGGAAGATTTTGTGTGAGATATTAATCCCCTTCACTCCTTCAAGAGAGGCTCTAGCTATGAAGTGAAACCTGGCTGAAAATGGCAGGCAATAGTAAGGTTTTCAGTGACAGTATTTCTGTGTTTGTTCTCAAGGCACAGAAGAGCATCTGCTTGGTTTCCTTTTAATTATGGGTATATTCATTTCAACTTGTGGTGTAACTCTTGTGTAATGGTTATTGGCCAGGATATGAATTGCAATGATGCCACACAGACCTAACAGTAAAGGGGCAGCAGAACAATTATGGCAAGTGGCATAGGAAAGAAAAACATTTCTGTCCTGTCTGCTTTATCTTCTGAGCAGCTAAAAATTGACCCAGTATATCTGTCTGAACAACAAAAGGGAGCATGGTCAAGTTAAGCTCATCATACTAAAAACACCTCCTTTCATTTCCACTTGGTGTCTAGAGGAGGCTGCTGGCATGTTGCTCACAAGTTGGACTTTGAAGGGAAAGGCACTTGCTGAAGCAGGTAAAATTTGAGACTTGCTGGTTAGTTAAGTT